TTAGTGCAACTTCGTAAATCCAATGGTTTAGATTCATTCTCATTTCTCACATTAGATGCATTTCTCACCTGAACCAATATATATATATATATATATATATATATATATAGGAAAAACTTCCTGTAAGGTATACCTTACCGGAGCCGCCGTGCGGCCTCCACTTTTTGAGGGCCTTCCCGGTGGAATTTTTCGATGAAAGTTTTTGAGCATGTTCTTCATCAAATCTATATATATATATATATATTCAAAAAAATCTATTTTTAATATTTATAAATAGACCCCGATAACTTTTAATATTTGTAAATACACCCCCATAACTTTTAATATTTATAAATATGGCCCCGTATCCGTATCCTACTTTTTTTTTGGTTTTGACGTATCCCCGTACCCGTTTCCGCGTTTCCGCGTACCAGTATCGGTGCTACATAGACAATAACAATAACAATAACAATAACAATAACAATAACAATAACAATAACAATAACAATAACAATAACAATAACAATAACAATAACAATAACAATAACAATAACAATAACAATAACAATAACAATAACAATAACAATAACAATAACAATAACAATAACAATAACAATAACAATAACAATAACAATAACAATAACAATAACAATAACAATAACAATAACAATAACAATAACAATAACAATAACAATAACAATAACAATAACAATAACAATAACAATAACAATAACAATAACAATAACAATAACAATAACAATAACAATAACAATAACAATAACAATAACAATAACAATAACAATAACAATAACAATAACAATAACAATAACAATAACAATAACAATAACAATAACAATAACAATAACAATAACAATAACAATAACAATAACAATAACAATAACAATAACAATAACAATAACAATAACAATAATAATAATAATAATAGCTAATATATATATAAAATAGCTAATATAAAAAAAATAGTGAATGTAATTTAAAAATAAACCTATTTAAAATGAAAATTTGAAGATTGAATACAGGAAAAACTATCAAATCTATAACATAAATTGCAACTACGCTCCTACTCCAAAATCATCCAATTAAACACCGGAATTATTAAAAACACCCAAGTCCTCCCTTTATGACGAACTATAAAGTGCTGACGTGATCGATGATATGGATTTAATTATTTTCTTTTTTGGTCAATAATATTAAGATAAGAGAGTCGTCATCGATTCTGGTATGAACCCGACAAAAGAATCTAAAGTACGACAAAAAAGGGCGGAGCTCAGATACACGTCATCATTGATTCTTCATCTTCAACTGCACGGGACTTGGAATGTTGTTATTCCTTTGTCGTTTGTCGTCTGAACTCTGAACCTCTAGGCCCATCCATATAAATATGACGAGCATAATCAATTTTAGTATACCAAAAGGTTGGGAGAAAATATTCTGATGGAGTATATTCCCATATACCTCGGAGGTATCAACATTTACGGATAAAGGATCACTACAAACTGCTAAGTCATTTCTCGTCGAGGACGAGCCCAAGCCCGTTGAGGTCGGTGTCTTAGTCAGTTCTTAGATCATCGAGATAAGTCTGAAACTGTATCTGAGGCCAAGCTCGCATTTCACCTAGGTCAACGCCAAAGTCTAGCACTATAATCAAGCTTGAGGTCAACTAGTGCCTCATGAGGTCAAAGAGATAAAGAGAACATTATTGCTGAGGGCACCCTCCTCTTAAATAAATACACTGCCCCTGAGCTCGGATTCTTCCGTAGAGTCCAGGACCCCGGAGAAGATTATGGACTTAGTCATTTCAGCACTGAAATTTCGCATAACTATTGTGATCACGTCATCCACACGATAGCTGTTTAGGGCTTACATCACCAAGACGGTTGTGCATAGAAGATTCCGGGTAAAACATGTGTGGCTTCCTTAGGCATTCCAGTACAAAACCTGTCAATTTAGTTATCCACAATACCAATCAGCTAGTTGTACAATTTCTCTTACAGATCAAGCTTTACATGTGTCAACGTGTTATTAGACTAGCAGATTTTACTTGTTCCCCAAATATTTCATTTTAATCTATAAACATCACCTTCCAACTTGTGGAAAGGAATTGTCATTCTTGCGCACAAGCTTACTGTTATTCTGTCAAGTTTTTTACTCAATCTATACTTAGCACTTTTCATTTTCCTTCTCGATTTCTTCTACCCCTAGGTTGGGGAATCCATCACACTCAACACAACTAAAGGATCAGATTCAGAAAAAAATCTCCAAACAAGCTGAAGCAATTGATTATGTATTGTTTGGATCTCCAATCCATTCCGATAATAGCACTGGAAAATCAGAATCATCTCATAAATCACGCTTTTATCATAGTTTAGTTTTAAAGTTTACTCTTGAAAAAGTTATGCATCATGAGATGAAGGAATCAAAGGAAAAATATGTGAAAGACAAAAATTGTTGAAAGAAGACAACCTATGTGATATATCGAGAGATGGTAAATGGAGTAGGGTTAGTTAAATTCTTTGAAGCATGAGCTTAATAAATACGGAGTATGTTCCTTGACTCATTTTCCACCTAATCCTTGTTACTCCAGGGAGTGGTGGTTGAAAGACGAGGGCAGAGCCGTAGTGGTGAGTAGGATGAACATGGGTGGAGTGAAATAGCATTGCTATAGGAAATGAAACAAATAATTAGAAATTACATGAAGCAAATTAAATTGAAGAAAAAGAAAGAATATGTGGATGTCTATTAAGCGCCAACAATACATGTGAATGGCCAAATACAACCATGTCAGCTTATATAAGGCCATCTCCAACAGTTAACACCATTTTTTACACCAAAATGGTGTAAACATCACATCAAACAGTATTTTATCTCCAACAGTTTACACCATTTTCATCACCAAAAAGGAATATTCTCTTTTTATTCTTTTTACTAACTTTTCTCCATTCTTCTATTTAAGTATCTAACTATCATATATTTATATATTAGCCCCTCATTTAATATTTTGACATTTCACACATTATTTCACACATACAAATTAAAATACGTCATTTTAATATGTATTTTCATGCATCTCACTAATTAAAATACAATAATCAATATTTCACAAATACAAGCTAAAACCACATAAAATTAAATATTACAATAATATTATAATAATTTATACGTCATTAATAATTTAATAAAGTACTACTTAAACTTAAAGCTATAGATTAAATAAACATTCTTAGTTTAGTTATCGGAATTTGAGAATTGTTCCCACAAATGATCAATTAAAGCATTGCGGAGCTCAATATGAGCGTCTTTGTCGTGTATTTGGTTATGTCGGCTAAGAAATTGAGTGAACCGTGCCGCCTCATCAACTGCCACTTCAATATCTGGAACTGGTGTATCTCTCACATCTTCAACCGGTGCATGTATATCACGTTCATTCTCTATTATCATATTATGCATAATAATACATGCACTCATTATGTCATGTAAGACTTTTTTCTCCCAAAAACGTGAAGGTCCTGCGATAATTGCAAATCGGGATTGCAATACTCCAAAGGCACGTTCAACACTTTTCTACATGCTTCTTGTCTCATGGCAAAATATTTCTTCTTTCTACCTTGTGGTTGATGAATTGTTTGAACAAGTGTTGACCACTTTGGATATATACCATCCACTAAATAGTAACCGACATTATACTCTTTTCCTTGAATAATATAATGAGCGGGAGGAGCAATTTCTTGTGCTAAATCTGAAAAAAGATTGGATGCCTCTAAAACATTAATATCATTGTTACTACCTGGCATTCCAAAATATGCGTGCCATATCCAAAGATCATAATCTGCCACAGCTTCAAGGATGATAGTTGGTGAGCCACTACGACCAGAATATTGTCCTGCCCATGCTGTTGTACAATTTTTCCATTTCCAATGCATGCAATCAAGACTCCCCAACATTCCTGGAAATCCACGTTGTTTTCCAATGTCAAGAAGTCTCGCTATGTCATTGTCATTAGGTCTTCTTAGATACTGCCCTCCATATATTTGGACAATAGATCGACAAAATCTTTTCATACTTTCAATTGCTGTAGACTCACCTATTTTAACGTACTCGTCTGTTGCATCCGCGGGCACACCATATGCCAACATACGAAATACAGCTGTTATTTTTTGTAAAGCTGATAATCCGAGTCTACCTATTGCATTTCTTCGTTGGTGGAAATAGTTGTCATGATTTGTAACAGCACCAACTATTTGTAGGAACAAATCTCTGGACATACGATATCGTCGGCGAAATAATGCTTCTCCATAACGTGGATTTGGAGAGAAATAGTCCATGAACAAATTATGGTCTCCCATTTCTCGATCACGGTCTATCACCACATGACCATGAACAGATCCACCATGCCTAATAGGCGTATTCAGCTCACCAATACAATGACTTATTGTCATGTTGTTTTTTAGTGCCACCATCATGATTTCTTCTTCTTCTTCTTCTTCTTCAAGTTGTGCTATAGTGTTCATCGCTAAAGCATCATCATCTGAAGAAGAAGAAGACGATGATATGTAAGAGGACGCTCCAATATTGAAGTTCATTTTTTTATGTGGTGATTTGTTCATATTAATAGTAGTACGCTTATCTGAAGAGATAAGAATCCAATGGTTGTGAAGAAAAGGCAATCCATCCATCGGGTAACGTAATGATTCCCTACCCACTTGCATCTGACATTGTAAGTAGTGCGTGACAAGTAGTACGCTTATCTCAAGAGATAAGAATCCAATGGCTTTGAATAAAAGGAAATTCATCCATCGGGTAACGTAATGATTCCCTACCCACTTGCATCTGACATTGTAAGTAGTGCGTGACAAGTAGTACGCTTATCTCAAGAGATAAGAATCTGATGGTTGTGAAGAAAAGGAAATCCATCCATTGGATAATCTAAGTATTCCTTATCAACCTCAACATTCTATAAATACTGATGTCCTGAATGATCACACTTCATCAAAACCTCTATCCCACAATCTATATTCTATCTTGTTTCCTTTACGAGCAAAATGACTTCAAGATCAAGTAGTTACACCATAGCTGAAGACGTTTTGTTGTGTCAAGTGTATTTAGACATAACTCAAGACCCGATCATCGGCAGATATCAATCTGCAAATGATTTCTGGTCACGAGTTGAGGCTAAGTACAACGAACAGCGTCAACAAAATCAAGAGCATCGTAATACACGTTCACTGCATTCAAGAATGGATACAATAAGTACGCAAGCACGGAAGCTAAATGGGTGTGTGAAGCAACTTGAGAATTTAAACCCAAGTGGTGCTTCAGAAAAAGATATTGTAAGTATAATACTTTGTATAATTTTAATTTTCAATAATTTATTTACTTTTATGTAATACAAATTAATTTTTATGATATGCAGCTGGATCGTGCTAAAGTTTTATTTATGCAAGATCCAAAAAATATTCCAAGGGTGTTAAATTTGACCATGTTTGGAATATGATTAAAAAATTTGAAAAATTTAAAGATAATGTGCCAACAGCAAGACATGCTGCTCCAAAAAAAAAGACAAGTTAATTACGACTCTTCCCAATCAGACTCTCATCCACCATCTCCGATTTCCTCATCACCTGGATTGTCATCTTCGTTCAATAAAGAAGTTGATACTGATTCTGGTTCTGATTTTTCAACACGCCCAATAGGGGTAAAAAAAGCCAAACTGAAGAAGAAAAATGATGAAGACACCACTATTTTGCTTAAGTCGGTTAAGAGCGACAATGAGCAACTTATAGACACGTTGAAGAAATCGTCGTTAGATCGACAAGAACAATTGCAAATCCAGCGACAAAATATGGCATACAAAGAACAGAAAAGAGAAAATAAAATAATGTTCATGGATTTGAATTCTATTCACGATCCACAAACGCGAGCGTATATCATGGCAGAAAGATCGAGAATTTTACAAAAAGAATCTCAAGAAGGAGGATCATCAGCTGGATTTGGGAATTTGTTTGATGGTCTCGGAGGGTCTGGAAGCGGGTTGTAACACTTGAGATTTAATATAAACGGATTAATAGTACTACTCATACCAACAGAGATGCATCTCCTTTTAAGGGAGCTCATCACCCAAGAACTCCAAAGTTAAGCGTGCTTGCACGGGAGTAGTCTTGGGATGGGTGACCCCCTGGGAAGTTTCTCAGGGCGCGCATGAGTGAGGACAAAGTGCGCGGTAAAGGCTTGTGGTGGTTTGTGAGGACAGTACTAGAGGTCTGAAGTAACTACCTCGGGTCCTGCGGGGCCGGGGTGTTACAGGTGGTATCAGAGCAACCCCGCGACAGTGTAATGACCCGTTGGATATCGGGCGGGCACTTAGCGGGGGAAGATTCTGGGATTCGATTGAGATTTGAGATTGGTTCAAGGGCGCAACGAAGACGTTGCGATCCTAAGTGGGGGTGATTGTAACACTTGAGATTTAATATAAACGGATTAATAGTACTACTCATACCAACAGAGATGCATCTCTTTTTAAGGGAGCTCATCACCCAAGAACTCCAAAGTTAAGCGTGCTTGCACGGGAGTAGTCTTGGGATGGGTGACCCCCTGGGAAGTTTCTCAGGGCGCGCATGAGTGAGGACAAAGTGCGCAGTAAAGGCTTGTGGTGGTTTGTGAGGACAGTACTAGAGGTCTGAACTCTGAAGTAACTACCTCGGGTCCTGCGGGGCCGGGGTGTTACACGGGTTGAATGACTACTAATTTCTAAATTAGTATGTACCATGTATGTTTTTAATTATGTTTTAATTTTAATTATAATGGTGTTATTAATTGTAATTTTAATTATGCAATTTCCTTAAGTATCATTTGTATTCTGTTATAATGTTGTTTGGATTTGAAACTTTATTTTTAATATTGTGTGATTTAAATTTTTTTCTATCAAATTAATAATTTTAATTTGTTGTTCTATAAGGATGTTTTTACTTGGACTGTAGTTTGTCTCGGGATCAGATAAGACCCGATTAGACCACACTTGAGTAGTTATAAAAATACAAATAAATTAGACCAGACCACATCATTTCAGATCAGACCAGATCAAATCAGATCAGACCAGATCAAATCAGACCAGACCAGACCAGACCAGAGCGGACAAACCAATTTTAGTCCAACTAAAACATCCTAATTTGCTATTTTAAAAATGGGTCAAAACTATAATAATTGAAACTTGAAGGTAACATTTAAAAGGAAAAGAAAGCAAAAAAGTGGGATGGTGTAATATATGGCGTACGCCATATATGGCGTGAAGCCATCCTCCCTCCCCCATTTTGGTGTAATGGTGTAGTGTTTGGTGCCATTGTTGGAGCATTTTTTTGCAAAATACACCATTTTGGTGTGGCAAATGGTGCTTGTTGGAGATGGCCTAACCTAATAAACCGAATGACAACCTTCAAAATGGAGGAATTGGGTGTTTTTAATGATTTTGGGGGTTCAATTGAGTGATTTTAGAGTATGAGAGTTTACTTACTGTTTTTATATAGTAAAGGGCTTACTTGATAGTTTTCCTTTACAGTCTCACTGATCGTGTTAACATGTATGCTGATTATGAATTGTTGTATTGTGAAGCACCTTACTTCTAATACCCTGAATAACTATCTAAAATACATTTTACATATTTTTTTCAAATATTACTAAAATAGTACTCATGAACATAAAATGTGACAGTTTTTAAAGTTCTCAAAAATTGGGAACATGAAACTTTTAAATGTGTGCAACCACATGTGACTTTGTTAGTGATACACTGTGATTACCTATGACATCATCTCACGCGCCACTTGGGGTGTGAGACAGAGTAACTGGGGCGGATAACAATGGAAAAAATTTGAATACAGTTAGTGTTTTGAGAAAAACAGACATATTTTTCCTTCACAAATTCTTTAATAATATTACACCCACCATTTCTTATGTATACACATAATGCATTTGATAGATCCATTTAATTATTACTAATTGAGTTGGATATTTTATGTAAAAAGGGATCAATAAAATACATTGAAAATGACTGTGTGAATGTAACCTAAAAGATTTAATTTAGTTTAGTGTGAGATGAAAATGAAGAATTATATTTTTATCTTGATCATTAAGTAAAATTAGAAGATATTAGTACTGATTATCCAACCCAATCTTTGCATTATAACACTTTCCAACCCCCCCCCCCCCCCCCCTCCTCCAACTTCCTTAGCCTCCTCAATTAAAGTTCAATACTCTGTACATTTTAATTGGGAGACTATTAAATATTTACCCCTCAAATATTTGGACATAAATTTATATGATCTTAATTTATAATTAGTTTCAAACTCCTTCATTGCACGGCCATAAACAACATGTGAGATCACAATGTAATTACATATGATTCTAATGTAAAAAAAATCCTTTAAGAGTAATTTAAATGATTATTGTAATGTTAATCCACATTTATTCATGTGCATGGTGATGAGTTATGAAACCCGAAGATAGAGTAAATCGTGAGTAAGTTTCTTTGAGGATGCCGTGAGTATGTTTTTTTAAGGAAGTTGTGAGTAAGTTAGTAAAGCTAGAGAAAGACCATGGACTAAATTTGACAGAATAATGGTATTAATCCCGAATTGAAAACAAGAAAACAAGTTTCAGAAGGTGTTCTTGAAGTGCACAAGCGTTTACATATCGAGGGAGGAGGAGGTGTTGTAATGCTTCAATCTTTTGTTTGTGAATAAAATGATAGAAGGTAGAGATAAAAATTTGGTGAAGTCAAAAGAGCATAATGCTTCAAGCAAATTGAGCATTTGGGTGGTTGTACCCGGTATGATAAAAGGCAGATATGAAAGGACTTGCTCCAGAAAAAACTTACCCGGTGTTATTCAACAACTTCAGAAGAAGCTTTTCATGGTTGAAGCAAGTCTGGCGCAAAATGAAAAAAGAAAATGTTTTATTAAAAGAAGTAAGAAGAATGGAGGAGCATTGGTCAATGTATGATGTCAATACGAGGCAAATGAAGGAAAAAAACACAAATCCTCAGGCTTGAATCATTTCTCTTCTCTCGTTCTTGACAATCTTCCAAGCACCTCTAGTATTTTAGGGTAGCTGCTTAGTTAATGATTTGCGTAGGAAGCACATTGTACGTGTATAATAGTAATAGGTGTTATAGATATTTTTGTTATAGATAAAAATATCATTATAATTTTTTTAGGAACATAACTCTTTAGAAAAATGTCAAATTGCAAACCTCTTTTCATATGTGAGAAAAGAGGGACATATGGGTACGTGTGTACGTGTGTCCTTAACTATCTTGGAGACTACATGTGGGTAATGAAAGCATGGTATATGTTATGGACATAGTGATTATGCCAACCTTGTCAATTTCCTTGTGATGGAGTCGGAACGGATTAAAGCGGCGGCAACCTAGCAATCCACTGCGTACTAAGATGTCAGTTTGTCTGATTATAAAATAATTAGTTGAGGAAGTGGAAGGTGATTCCCTTAGCCCCGTCTTGGTGAGTCGGTGGGGCTTGTTTCCTTGGCTCTCCCTTCAAACTCACTCGGCCGAAAGTGCTTGCACTTCTTTTGCAAAAATGTACTCTTGAATTGAACTCGTGTGAACCCCTCAACCTTGTTTGGCAGGCCCAGTAAAACATGCTTCATCTCTCTTTGATGCAAATATTATTTGGTTGACAATTGTTATTTAGAAAAAATGAATATTTAACTACTTACCCCAATGCAAGGTATCATCAATAACAATTTCATGATGTATGTAGTATATCCTAGAGGAGATCAATAGGTATTTAATAGAACACATTCATTCTTAAGAAGCTGTATATATGGAGAGAGCATTTTGTGTTCTTAATAAGCCCTGATGGAAGATATTGTAAAAATGTCAAGATCAAATGTGTGCTCTAAATTGTGAAGCACCGTGTGCTCTAAATTGTGAAGCACTATTTCATCAAGTATCTCATGGATAGGAAAGTAGATATTAAGTATTACTAGTGTAACGCCCGGGGCATCCCCAGTAGTTTCTTTTTCTTGCATCAAATTCAAATATATCTTTTATTGTGGGAGAAAGGGAGTGTGTGTTCCAGAAAGTTAGAAATTCATTCTAAGTATTATGATAGCATAAATGTTTGTTATTGTAACAAATTAGTTAATATCTCAATTTTAAATAACAAAATTAAATTTCATCTACATATATTGAGTTTGATGTCTACATTTAATTTTATGTTTATAGTGATTGGAGTTTATTTGGTGTCATGAACTTATAGTAGGAAATTTGATTTTATTATATTGAGCTGGGTTTCTTCAGACAATGTTGGGGGAAATTGTGTAGAAGCTTCTTCATTTATTAAAAAATTGTAAGTTTTGATGTGTGTTATTCTACTAAATTTATTGGACGTGAACATTGAGTATTATACAGAGTAATATTGAACCAGAGTTGATTTGGTGTTTTTATTTTGTTACTTTATATGTCCCAAAATGATAATGCAAATGTATATTTCTTGGTCCATACAATACCATTTTATTCTCTAATTTTGAGTATCAAGTTAAAGTCATTTTTAGATTTGAAGTTTGCACTCCAATAGAACTTTTTATCTAAATTCATGATATATGCACTTTTGTTGCTATGACTAACATAAAAAATTAGGCAAAATATTAACTTTAAATTTAGTCAAACTCATAAATCATTTTGTGCAAAATCATTTGGGATGAAGAAAATATATTATTGTTATTTCTTGGAGTCGTGTATAACCAAATAATAATTAAAGTGTTATGTAATATTTTTTTATTCTGATGCTTTGATGGCGTTCATATTATACATATAGGAAATCAACTTTTGTATCATATTTTTAGAATATTTTAATTTAGTGTGTTTTTACCACCCGATTTAAAGGATTGAATCTAAGATATACGTAGTATAAGATAATGAGCTTAAATATTTAATAGTTGAAATTAATTAAGTATTTCAAAATTAGTGATAACATATATTTTGTTAAAGAATAACAGAGTGACATGTCAGTGACTTATAACTGTGTTTTACTATATAAAACGATTGATGGTTTTGATATCAACGTATTGATGGTTTTGATATCAATGTATCAATAGAGTCCAATCATGGGCGTTGAACTCAAGATTACTCTTATTTCAAGAATGTTATATTTTCTCTATTTGTGGTTTCTTTTGATTCACCCTCACCTTAGATGAAGATATGGAATTTAGAGTAATAATTTGGGACTTTTTCCATTCAAGATTTTGAGACCCATTATGTCTCAATAAGGTTACTAATGTGCTAATATAATTTGTAATCATTTTTGAAACATTAACGTAGGGCGAGGTCATATTCTTTGTTAAGATGACTATTATAAAGAAGAAATAAGATCATACATGGATTTTGAAAAGAATTACGCTATATATATATATATATATATATATATATATATATATATATATATATATATATATATATATATATATATATATATATGATTTTTGTTGAGGGTGAGTTGACTCTTTTAATTTCATTTATTTTTATATATAAAATACATTTTCTTAACCTTATTCTATTATCTTGTGTCATGAGATGAAGAGTGATTCTTTTTACCTTTTTTGTATGTTTTGAAACATGGAAGCTAAGACGCATATGATAAGACGTATACAAATTGAGCTATTTTTTGGGAGGGTTTGGTTTCATAATAAAGTATCTTTAAATGGAGGATTAGAAAATTTAGTGGATTAAAACAAAAAACTTGTAGTTCAAGGACAAAAACAGGGCTTGGATTCCTAAAAAACTACCGAGTTTTTTCTAGATTTATATTCCTTACGGAGTATTTTTTAGTAACGTAAGCATTAATCTTTTGTTCAATTTAGGTAAATTAAATGATTTCGTAGAAAAGAATTTATATATGGAACATGTATGAATGACTTCTCCCTGACTCCCTCTACTTTGTAACATTTTTGAATGAGTTTTTAGCTGCCTTTTTTTGTCAATGTTGTTAATCGTAATAGCATTTTACATTTGTATTTATAATGTATAGAGATATATGGAGTAATGTTCCTGTCAGTCCGGAATGACCGGAACCGCTGTCCGGACGACACCATTTGAGGGGGCTTCCGGTAGAATTTTTTGATAAAATTTTGTGAGCATGTTATTCATGAAGTCTGAATTATCTCCACAAACTTTTTGCTTAAAATTCAATCGGAAACACAGTTAAATAAATTAGGGAAAAGGTGCAAATAAGCCCATGTACTAACCAAAAAAGGTCAAATAAGCCCTTATTTAGGAAGTTTTGTCCGGCCGTCACCATTTGGAGTGGTTCCCGGTAGAATTTTTTGATGAAATTTTTTGAGCATCTTATTCATTAAGTCTAGTTTACTCATACCAAATTTCAGCTAAAACTTCAATCGGGCAGGCATTCAATTGAATTCTTGAAAATAACCGCGCAGTTAGAAGCGCATTTATCTTCAAGAATTTATTTGAATGCCTTCTCGATTGAAGTTTTAGCTGAAATTTGGTATGAGCAAACTAGACTTGATGAATAAGATGCTCAAAAAATTTCATCAAAAAAATCCACCGGGAACCACCCCAAATGACGACGACCGGACAGAACTTCCTAAATAAGGTCTTATTTGACCTTTTATGGTTAGTACATGGGCCTATTTGCACCTTTTCCCAATAAATTATGGATACTTACTGCGCAAAAATATGCATAAAAACATAGTGTTTTTCAACAATTTGTTTAACTGACTTTCCGGTCGAATTTTAATCTGAAATTTTGTGTGAATGTTCTAAACTTCATGAAGAACATGCTCACAAAGGTTCACCAAAATATTCAACCTGGAAGGCCCTCAAATAGGCTTGACCGAATGCCGGTATATGTATGTATGTATAGCATTTATATAATGAGTGTTGTCCCTATTCAATGTATCGTCAGACTGATGTTAATTTATGTTATTAATAATTAAATAAATTTATCACAGGAAGAAGAGAAAGAAGAAAAGCCTGGAGGCATATGCTTTTGTTCAATGTATATATCAAGATACAAACTTCCCTTTCTTTTGAATATATGAATTCGATCTTTATTTTTTAGCTGTTTATGACATTTTTAATTTGCTCATTAGCTTGATATTAAGAACAACGAATATTGGCAAGGATGGGGAAAAGGGGTGCTGCAACAATGTTGGTTGAATCTATTGTAATGTACTGTGTTTGTTGTTTTATGAGGGATTTGCTCAGCCCTATACGACTTGGGAGGATCGATGCTTGGAGAGCTGTGTTTTTCAACACGACGACTTCAACTTTACTCATATTGATTCTGTGTATGATGATTGCAGGGAAAATAACCCACATTGTTTACTAGTCATACCTTGCTTCCCCCTTGCATGGATTTTGAACAAACAAATTTGCTAAAATCAAATTGTCGAAGTTGTTTAACCATCACTAAATGTTGTAGTGGAGAAACAACATAACAATAACAACAACAATAATAACTAGGTAGTGATGACAATATTACGGGGTAATAAATCTATTTATTTATGTATTGTAGTATAATAAATGCAAAGAAAAATAGAAAATGCCCACATTCACAACAATTCATAGCAACCAAAACATGACAAGTAGAGACAATGGCAAGGATGCCCACATCCATTGCTGCGGATATCCCCTAGGAAAAGTGATGCCTGTAGTTGTCCCCTATGATGGCAATATACTAATCTTTAGTGACAGGCGCACTTGGCTCAAAGTCTCAAACCATGCCTGTAGAAATATTGCGCAAAGCGGAGTCATTTCTCTCTTATTTTCTGTGGAACGGCCCCAAGAGCCTCCTCGTGAGAAGCCTCCTGTGATTATGTTGTGCTTCCATCATTATTTAAGTGACATGTAGACTCCATCCGAACAACTAATTCTAGTATGTTGCTGAGGCAAAGGTCAGACTCCAACCCGAAGGAAACAAGTTTACTATCTCCTGTCAAGATATTCTATTGAAACTGGTTTGAGAAGATGACACAAATGGCTCTTGCTCCCCCGTAACCTGTCTTTGTAAAAAAAGCCTTCTTAACCATGTCGATGTCTGGTATCCTTTTAAAGTTTTAAGGTGTCTCCAACATTATTCAGAGTATGAGTGGTGCTAGGTGTACACAAAATGCGTACACTTTTTTGTACACTCGTCTGTCCCCACAAACAACTTGTATGTCCACAGACAACTCTGTAGAGTTGTCCGTGGACAGACAACTTGTCTACGGGAGAGTTGTCCGTGGACAGACAACTTGTCTGCAGGGACAGACGAGTGTACAAAAAAAGTGTACACATTTTGTGTACACCATGCATTTTTCTTCAGAGTATAATGTTAGACAGTTGCGCAAAAACTAAAAAACTCTTAAATTTTATATTCTGTATGCAAGTTTTGTAAAAGTAAGGCTCAAAATGTTTTTTGAATGAAATTATTGCAGATAAATATTTTATTAACATTTTCCCAGGTATTTTGATTTTTACTTCATCAATAAAATATTATTTTTGAAAAAAAAAATATTTATTCCATCATTTTGGCTTGGGAATATGATGGAATAAAGCAAAGGCTCACTAAACAGCCGGTCCATGCAATTTTCGACAGAATTTTCACCACGGGTCATCCGGAAACAGTGTTTATGTGCTTTAGTACAGGGGTAAGGCTGCATACATCTGACCCCATCCTTACCCACAGTAGGTGAGAGCATTTGCGGTACTGGGGTAATGATGATGAGGTAAATTCACTGACTTAATAAATTATGCCACTTTAGCCATTTTAAATCTCACAACAAGCTCTCAGATCAGCACAGCTGGCTATACAGTAAATACAAAATACTACGCTGCCATCATATCCCAAATAGTTCCAATATGGTATGTCGTAACATGTTACATAATCATTATTAACAAATCAGACACAAAAGTTACCTTTTATACAATTGGACTTCATGCCTAATTATTGAGTGTAGTTTACACACACTAGAATAACTCATATCTCATAAGCAACAAACTGAAATTTTCAGCCGAAAGCTCGAAATGCCGACTTCAATTCCTTTTACAATGTGAAGTGATAGAAGAGGAACTCCATGCTTCAACGCGGATCATCATGTTAATAGACCTATAGTATAAAGGGGATATTAGTTTTACTGTATCCCAAAGAATAATGGCAAAGATATATCACTCTCCTATACCCATTTAGTCATTTAATATCCGATGAAATTGGAAGCTTACCGTAGTTGACTAGTTGTACACCATGTGAAGAGATTAGGGTATCTATAGGATTACATTTACCTTGTTATAGTAGCAAATACATACACTGAACAAATTAGAAGCATAAATGGTTTACACTTTATAGTACACGAGTCAGCATCCCTCTCAAGCATAAATGGTCCTTCCACATTGAATACCCGAGTGTAAATCAATAGTAAAATGTGTTGCCTTACACCTTGATTTGAACTTTTAGTTATAATGAGTGAAAATTGGCATTGTACCAAGTATAAACATGCACTCCCTCCACCCCATAACGTAGGATATATACATTTCAATTTTACAAACTCGGTATGAATCGAGGTTTTTGGAGGGGTTTTGGTAAGGAAGACCTTGGAGGGCTTTAGTTCATATCTTGACCTATTATGTGGACATAACATTTCAATCATCTTATATTCATTTTGGCAACGTTTTCATTTATCATGATACAGACTAAGCCCTCCAAAGCCTTCTCCTCCAAAAACCCCCATGACCTCTATGCTTCACCTGCAGAGGAAAAAGGTGAAGCATAGATTAATAAAAGTATAAGGTGAAAGTAAAAAGTAATTGGTGTTTAAATTAGGGAAGTGAATAGACTTTTGGGAGTAAAAAGTAAGTGGCGTTTAAAAGGATAAGTGTATCCAGCAAACTCAGACACAGTGAGGATTAGTTATTGATATTAAGTACTAGTTAATATCATGCCTCGAAGTAGGAATTTTGTTTGATTCGAATCAGATTCTTGAATCATGAATACGTTTAAAGTGATTGAGCAATTACTATAAAGGTAGAGGTAGTAAATTGGTGGAAATAGACATTTGAGAATCTAACATTTGCAGAAATGGTTTAATTAGCTATGAGTTCATTAATAGTTTACGGTTGTCTTGAGTCATTTGAAAACTGAAAAAATAAAAGTAAATAAATGAACACAGGAATAGAACCTTACAGAACCAGTATTCAAGTCAACTGATATGTTGGTATAGGAACCCCTGTCTCTTCTGTGAGCTTTCTGTAAGCATCTTGTAGTCTCAGAGTTATGGTACCCACTTGACCACATCCAACAAGCCGGCCATCAATCTTGGTGACCTTATCCATTTAAGTAACATAAAAAGATGGCGTTTATAATGAGAAGGTCCCAAGCCAATGTCGAATCACTCGAAAGAGCTCTGTATGCTTTGTTCATAGGAATAAGCATATAATGCTGCAAAAAGCTAAGCATGCATACCGGAGTTAGTTCTCCCATGGTTCCAGTGGTCCAAACCTACAGGAAGCATAGATAGAGAGGCCCGTGATTGATGGAAGCAAAAGATAAGTGATTTCTTTTTAGAAGGGAGGGTAAAAGAGATACTCCCTCCATAAAAAAAAAGATTCATCGTCGGTACCTAACATAAAGTATCCTATGTGAACAAAAGAAGCTAGCTTTCATTGTTCATTAATGAATTTTTTAATTAAAAGAAAGTGTTACAAGTATACTAGTATGCTAAACTTAAAATTAATAATAATGCTAGAATTTAGTATTTCCAATAGTTGTAACTTAATAAAATACTCCATATAAAAGTTGTACCTTAATGAAACAGTACTCTTTTCTTTTGGAGTGAGGTAGTATACTGAAAGATAGAATCAATGGGAAGTAGAATGAAAAAAGAAAGAGGTAAGAGAATGCCAAATTGGTCAGATAAGCTATGGGTATTTTAGTTTGTCAAAACCAGTGGGAGCATTACATCATTGAGCTTATCTTGGAGCGTGTACCTAAAAAACACTTGAAAGCGTATTATTACACCCTCCTTAGTTCTGATTGGTAGTGATTTTGGAGCAACAACAAAAGCTAATCACATGAGCCAAGCACTCTCAGAGAAGTATTATTACCTCATCTGCAGTGTGAAACTCTGATAAACTAATCCGTCGCTCCTCAAATACAATGTTTTCCTTCCGCACGAGCTCTATTACCTACAAAACATTATGCCGTCAAGAAAAAAATACAGCAGCTAATTACATGAACCCTCTTTTAAGGCCTGGAATAACAAAAAGAATGTGTTATTTAGTTGAACAAGAGATAAGGTGTTACGACGCTCATCGAACATATAAACTACAAAATCCTGACACCTTAACCAACTAAAAGAACGTAAAATTTGTTACAGGAAGGAAAGTATAAAAACATTTTGACATAATTAGACTCGGGCACAATATATATGTTCCCTAGGATTCGTAATTGGAGTGGTTGACAACAATTGTCAGGTCTATACTTGACAAGGTCATGATAGTTATATGATTGCTGTTAACTAGGATTCTAATTTCTAAACAGTGTAGAGGTTAATAAAAATGTCTAGTTCTAAGTTCTATACATGAAAAGAGTCCAAAAAGTCTTTAAACTCTTGGAACAGCGAACAACCAAATTTAGTAAATTCTTCAGCCATGCAAGAGCCCTTTATACTTCTTTTTTCAGGATAATTATACCAATACTGTAGCTATTTTTTTTCAAGAACAATACACTTTGGTGGGAACTCCCAGCTTTATCGTAAGCTACAAACATCAAAAGATGCAATAAGTAATAACATACAGTTGCTCTTGTGATGCCTGGAAGGCAGAAGTCGGCATGAGGTGTTGCAACACGGCCTTTCTTCACCAAGAACTGCATTATTTGAATACGAATAAGGTGGAATACACCCCAACCCAAAAAATGGTTGTTGGAAGTAGACTGTGTCCAACGAGGACTAGGGACAATTTCATTTATTAAAAGTAGGAAATGGATGCAATTATGCAAAACACTAGACAGGTAAGAAGAAACTTAGAGCAATTTGGTGTACTGATACTAATCTTGATACTTATTGAAAACATAAAAAAGACATAAATAATACTCCCTCCATCCCGTTGGAAGGTTCCTGTGAGTCAATGGCACGAATTTTTAGGCAAGTGGTTAAATAAAGTAATTTGGATAAAAAAAAGGGGGGGGGGGGAGAAAATTTAGAAAAAGTAAACATATAAAGTAAAAGTAATTAAAGGGAGATAAGTTGGGGGAGAAATTGTGAGACTTGACAAGTAATGAGTAGGAAAGAAAAATTTGAGTTAAGGCGTAATTAAAGAGAGTAAATTGTTTCCTAAAATGGAATGAGAACCTTTAAATGGGACACCCAAATAAGGAAAGTGGGAACCTTTGAATGGGACGGAGTGATAAGATCCTCCAATTATCCAGAACAATTAACAGGAATTTAACAAGAAATCAACTGAAATTCTTTATTGAAGAAGATGAACAGTACAGTAACCTAGGCCGAAGCCTCCCAAAAGAGAAGAGAAAAGAATCCTCTAATCTTTCCCAGTCCCAGACTAAAAGTCCCAAAAACCTCCTTCTAACACTCTTTTCACGTCTATTTATACTGGGGTACTCAGACCCTTATTACTAATATTATTAATACTACTTCTATTATTAGTCTAATATAAGTGGGTTCCTATCAATACTCCCTCCCTAAACAACCACCTTGTCCTCAAGGTAGGCGATAGGAACTCGCTATGATCTTCAACTTCCTCTTCTTCCTTACGCCTCTTCCTTCCCAGTCAAGATTTATTATCACAGAACTTCCCTCAGCCAAAAATTTTTGTAGTGAAGTTTCCTTCTGTTCAGTCTCTTCCCAGCACTCCATAACCAAAAGTATTTCTTCCCGAAATGAAATTCTTGAGATATAATGATCACTGTCCACTAGTACAAAGCAGTGTCCATTATCATGGTATGTCGTCTTATCACTCCCATCATTTGAATAATAAGGTGTAGCCTTTCCTTTTAGAAAATAGGACCAAGAACTCAGGCCAGAAGACAAAGTGTTAGGATTCAGTTTCAAGTCAATATAGGTAAAAGTGTCCACTACGTCATCATTAGGAAATTTTGTTGACACTAGTAGGTCCTGGTAGATGATCAGCGAATAGCAACTTATGTTCTCAACGCCATATTCCAACACCCAGGTGGTTGATTGAATCTCAAGAGGAATCTCTCTCCCAATAATCAACATTTTTAAAGAATGAAGAGCATTCCATCTTTGTTGCTGATATTGGAAGATGGAAGAGTCAGTATACGGGCTGACAAAATCCCTGTAAAGGCCATTTACAAGTACAAGGGACCTAAGAGAGGTGCTTCTAGCCACCAAATGGGAATTTGCCACACTGGTTATCTCTGGTGAGGTTTCATTGTCTTCCTTAGTCTTCATACCATCAATATACACAAATCTTTTCATGCTTTCCTGAGGTATAACACTTGCAATAATGGCAGAATTGTTGTTCATATCCTGGATACCCACTTTAATCTTCATGATGCTTGACAACAAAACAATGCCATCCTCTGCTGCATTTTGAGTACCATTAACAACATTCCACCAAACTACTCCCTTAAGAATATCCACCAATTTCTCCTTGCCACTGTATGTTCCTCTAAACGAACATCGATTTTTACTCCATTTCTTAAAACAGAGAGTCGAAAAACCCAAACTATCTTCAAAATTGCACAATCTTTGCTAGTATGAAGCAACACAAAAGCCAAGCAACACTTTGTGGGCGAGAATACACAATCAGTTCTTTTACCTAGTACATTAGCCATACTTCTTTTGTTCCAACCTAGCCTGTCAGATGAAGGAAGTTCATTTATTCTAACAGAGTTCCAGTCTTTGCTAATGTTATTCAAACTGGAAGGGTTATCACAAGCGATGGAATGAATAATTGTCCCAGCTTCAAGTCCCAGATTAACTGAAGATTCCTCATTGCTTTCCTCTTCGGCATCGGTGTGTGTATCTTCCGTGTTCGTTTGCCGCAAATTAACCAACTCCCACTGCGACTCTGGTGACTCAGATAGCAATTGCGAACTGGGGTCTTCTGCTCTTGTCAAAACCATAGTTTCAGAAGAAATTGTCTGCGAACTCAGAGGGGTGGCTTGAGACGGATAAGGCGAACAGTGAGAATCGATGCGCGATGAAGATGGAAATTCTTCTATCAATCGTTTCTTTATTGGACGTGAAGTAATAGCCGCTGAGTCAGTCTGCGAAGGGAGAGAAACTGTTCGCGATTGTGAACAGTGAAAAGAGGTTCGCGATAACGAACCAAGAGAAACATTACGCGATTCCGTTTGCGAATTGGTGAACGATTGAGACGAACTTACTTTGTCAGTTATTGAAGAGCGATGAGAAGAGCGATGCGACGAACTCTGCGAAGAGCGATGTAAAGAATTCTGCGAAGAACGCTGTGAAGAACTCTGCGAAGAACGATGTGAAGTGTGCGATCTGCTCTTCGGACACCTTCTCGCCTGAATTTCGTTCATCGCATCTAGTTGTCTGGTCATCTGTTCCGCCATCTTTCTCATATGTGTTAATTTCTTCATCATCGATGTCTGCTCCCTCTCCAGCGACTCCATCCTCTTCTCCATTTCTGGTGTACAAAATTCTTCCATGATTCAGATTCACGGTCTCCGGGAAGTATGTCTCTGATACCAATGATAAGATCCTCCAATTATCCAGAACAATTAACAGGAATTTAACAAGAAATCAACTGAAATTCTTTATTGAAGAAGATGAACAGTACAGTAACCTAGGCCGAAGCCTCCCAAAAGAGAAGAGAAAAGAATCCTCTAATCTTTCCCAGTCCCAGACTAAAAGTCCCAAAAACCTCCTTCTAACACTCTTTTCACGTCTATTTATACTGGGGTACTCAGACCCTTATTACTAATATTATTAATACTACTTCTATTATTAGTCTAATATAAGTGGGTTCCTATCACGGAGGGAATAGTAAAATACAGTTTTACCTAACATTGACACTTCGCACCCTCACAATAACAACCACACCCTCACAAATTAAGCTATAATACAACAAAATAAAGGGGTAGTTGGAACTGATTCTGATTTTGCTTCTTTTTTAAAGTAGAAGCAGAATCAGAATCAGTTTTCAGAAGCTGGTCACCCCCAGCTTCTAGAAAAACTGTTTTTAGGAGCAAATTAGAGCACCAGAATCACTTCTTCACTTTCACTTTCGCTTATTGGGGGGAGAAAATGGTCCGTCAGATTATGCATGTTAATAGAATGAGCAGCACAAAACATTAACCAATTCACTTAAGGCATATGAAGCAAGCACAAAAAATTCAACATATGCTGCCTCCAGAGTGTTTCGTCAAAACTAAAATTGTGGAATGAAAACTGAAATACTAACAATGTTAGTAGCATTTGTTTCCGACACATAGCCATCTTTATCCAGCATGATAGCATCATCAGCTTCTGCATTATTTCCTTCTATCTGAAAGCAAAAGTCAACTAAAAATATAGCATCACTTTAAAAGCAGGAACATATTACATGCGGTTAATTTGATCCTTTTTGGGTTGGAGGATTTCGGAGGCGAGATACCTTTTTACATTTGTATTTTCAACAAAAAATACATTGAATATAATATTTTATCTTGCTTATATAAAATACTAAATCATTCTCAAGATATTTTTAATTGGACAGATTTTTTTTGGCCTGATATGGTCATTTAAATCTGGTTTGTTCTGGTCTGAACTGGCCTGGTAAATGGTAAATGTCTGAATGTTTGATCTATGTGTATTTTACAACTATCAAAGTTAAAGTTTGATCTGGTCTGGTCTATTTAAGTCTGATCTAGTCTGACCTAGAACTAAAATAAGCCCAAGTAAAATCATCCTCACTTTTCTATTGAACCAAACATAAGATATTCCTTTTGAAGTGTCATTCCCCCCCCCCCCCCCCCCTCTTCTCTATCCCTTTTTTCCTCTTCCCTTCATTTCAACCAAACAAAGGGTTAGTGTCTATTGCATATCTCCATACCAACTCTTATGTGCCCCCTCGAACCTCACTCACCATACTTTCAGTAAATGATTTACTATAAACCCAACAATTATAATCAACCAACAATTATAGTGGGGGAATTGTCAATTGAGGGTCGATATCTATTAGAAAACATTCGGAATCCACATCTGGATGGCAACAATTTCCACTAAAAAAATTAAAAGAAGGCTCCCCAACCCCAACCTGCTTTACTCAACAAGGATGTAAATATAGCACTCTAATGGCAGATACATAACTATCACAGCATAAGAAAGATACCTTAGCAAGAATGTTATTGAGAAGGTTGTTATGGTGAATCTTTGAATCCAAATTCTGTGATGGAAGACAAAGTTAACAATTACACGAGTAAGAGAGGGTCTTCTCACTCGCATATAACATAATTATATATGATTCTTCCATATATTGAGCCTAAAGGAGTAACCATAACAGTAGTATAATAATGGACGATTGATGCATTACTTTGAATCTATAAGCATGTATTGTATTTAGTAAGTATGCCATGTCAATGACGTTTAGATTGCATAAATCAATGCCAGATTTCATTAGAATAACAAACATAAACAGCATTAGTGAGTACAGTCAAATTTAAGATTTCAAATTATTATTAAAAGGGAAGAAATGACACTTTTAGTCTCCCAGTTATAGCTTTGGTACAGTTTTAGTTCTCCTACATGTACTTGGCCAAAATTTAAAGTTGTATCTTGATAACATACAATTGGGAGACATTGTAAGTTGTAACAAGTTGTAAACAACTAGGCAAACCCTTAACAGCATATCTAATAAGACTAGATGAATAGAATACAAATATTTGTAGATAGCTATAGTTCCCCTCTCTAACATGATTTTAATGAGACCTTGACTACATCACCACTTTTTCTTCTCAAATGAAATACATAAAAAAACCAAAAGCGTTCATCTATGAAAATCATCATTTGAAGTAGCATGCATATCTCATGCACAAAAAAATGCATATCTCACATTTGGAGAATTACGCCTAGTGGTTGCTGTCACCAATGTGATGCCTTTTGCATTGTCATAGACAGGTGGTTTCCATTCAGGAAGAACTGAAAGAACCAGAGACACAAATAAGAGTATGGTTGAACATAAACTCAAATACTAGCCACTTATTGAAAATAGGGAACATTCCATTTATTTATTCATAGCTTAGACTGTTCCTTCAAGTTTTGAGTTTTTTCTGCAAATAGAGATGCCAAGGTTTTGCATCAGATGGCCCAGATATCTTTTAACTATTTTAAGGAAGAATTTGGGGTCAAGAACGTGCCCAACAAGTCTATATTCAATGATTTAGTGATTAAAGGAATTTTGTTGAGCAAAAATTATACTACGTAATACACGGCACAGGATAACAGAGATCCATGATCCATTGCCTTGATGAATGACAATCCATTGTTATTTACATAATTTAGCACTTCCATTATTTAGATATCATTTGCCTCAATGGCTCATTCACAATAACTTTGAATTATCGGTTAAGTGAGAATTTGGATATCATGTATGTTTTTATTTGGTTACAGTTCTTTATTTATTCTTATGAATAGTTCCCCTCCACAAGGTTCTATAGCGGAAAATAAATACACTATAGGTGTACCCGTCCACTAGTGTAGCCATAAAAATCTTACTCGAGGAAGAACCACTGTAAGATTAATCATTTTCATGCTAGGAGAAACACTAATAAGTACTACCTCCGTCCCCCTACGATTGGGACAAGAGGGAGTGGTGTGGTTTTTAATAAAAGTGGAATTGTGTGGTTGATATTGAATAGGTAAAGTGTGAATAAAGTAAGAATGAATTATAACCACCCATATATTACCAAATAAGGTATGGGATAAACTCAGTGGGACGGACGAAAAAGGTAAAACGGGACAAAAATAGGGGAACGGAGGGAGTGTGTGCTATCATAATGATAACAAAAAATAGATACCAAGACATTTATACGTTGGAAAAAAACAAGCACCTTACCAATTAAAGTACATCCATAAAGGTTTAAAGCAGGGGTCATTCCAGAAGATACCTAATGGACAAAATATGACAATCGAACTATCAAATCATAGCTATCTGTACATATTTCATACGAACTATAGTATTATATATAATCTGGATTCGCAAAGTCAAATACTAAAATATTTGATGGAGGCCTTGGACTTAGGGCGCCAACACTTAAAAAAGGTTCAATGATGATAGAGACTTTACTAAACTGAAGAGAAGAGATAAATACTCTAATAAAGTGTATTCTAGAAGGAAATAGGGTTGTTATTAGTCTAGTCTATTATGAGCAAATAACTTTCGGTGGTTAGCCTTCATTACTATAAATAGACTATAGTAGGAGATTGTAAGGATATGCTGAATTTGAATTGTAAACTGTACGCAGTCTGTTGCCTTAGGCCTTCGGCCATTGTTGCCTTTGAGAATAAAAGTTGCCTTTGAGATATTTCTTGAACCAATTCTGTGATCTGTAAGACTAGAGTTGGAGTTTTCTAACATTGGTATCAGAGAACATCGATTCACTGTGGATGTCTTAACGCGCGCAAAGATGGAAGCACGATTGGATAACTTGAGGTGGAGTCATCAACAAAATATGGAGTTGATGGCAGCGATTCTGGCCAGACTGGATGCGGAAGATCGATCTAAGAGAAGATCGCACGCTTTGCGAAGATCGCAGGAGCCGCAGAAGAAATCACGGACTGTTTCGCATCATAAATCTGCGAAATATCCGGAAATCGCGATCGATCAAGAATGGTCGCGAAGAAGGTCACATGCATCGGACACATCGCATCACAAATCACGAACCAGTTCGCAGGAGTCGCGAACTAATTCTTCTAGTTTGCCATCGGAAATTTCCTCTCACCCGTCGCAATCGCGAATTTTCTCTCAACAGTCGCAATCGCTAACAAAGTCTCGCAATTCCCAGACTTACTCAATCGAGATCAATTCGAGTACAAGAAAGATGAGAGGAGAATATTCAACTTCGACAGCAATTTCTTCGGGACCTCTGGCTTTGACGCAAGCAGAAGTCTCCAGTTCACAAGTTTCTTTGATTCTGGAATCTCACAGCTCATCCACTCTGGCCATCGCATCAGAAAAGGGATCTCCAGGGACTACACCAACAACCATAAACACAGAATTGGAACCGGTTGTACCTTCAGTTAAGGAAACAGAACCTGAAGAGGAAGACAATGATAAATCTTCAGTTCATCTTGGACCTGAAGCTGGTGCAATTGCTCGTTCCCTCACTTGTGACAATCTTTCTAGTTGGAATAACAACAGCAAAGATTGGAACTCTTTGAGAGGAAGTGAACTTCCTTCATCTAGCAAGATTGGAACCAAAGAATTAGGGCTGATGTATTTGGTAAAGAAGGGACTGATTTTGTACTCTCGTCCACAGTGTTGCTTGGTTCCTGAGTTGCTTCATACAAGCAAAGATTGTGCAAATTTGAAGGTAGATCAACCCCTCTTTGTTTCAAGAAATCAAGTAAAAATGGATTTTCCTTTTGAGGAACAAGCATTGGCAGAGAGATTTTGGTGGAATATGCCTATGAGAGTTGTTTGGAGGAATGATGTTAGGTATACTCGGAGTGCAGCAGAGGATGACATTGTTCTGCTGAAAAGCATTATGAAAGTCAATCACAATTCAATGGGAGAAAAGTCAAATGTAGTTGAAACAATTGGTAGGTCCAGAATTTCTGATAAGCAGATTAAAGTGGATGTTCAGGACATGAACACCAATTCTGCTACGGTTGTTCTTGAGTTTGTTCTTGAAAACCAGTGGGGTAGAATCTATGCGGATCTAGACTCAATTATTCAAGCTGCTTCAATTAAGATTACCCAGAATGAACAAATCAGGGATTTATCTGTAAAACTAGAAATTGTTAATGGGATGCAAGCTGAAGTGAATGCTCAACCTTATAAAATGGTCTTCTGCTTCAAGGATTCCGAAGTGAAATGTTCCGGTTGTGGAATTTTAACGGAATACAAGATAGTTGATATTGTTGGAAATATAAAAATGGAGCCCTACTTGTTTGGACCAAGAAAGTTAGAGGCAGATCCAGTTAGGAAAGCAAGCAGAATTCAGGAATGTTTCTATCGGGGGCGGTTTGGAACACTGTCTACGCGCATGTCAGAATTGTTTGAAGCAAACAAGAGAAACAGTTTGATCTTTGAAAATTATTTTGATGCTAAAGATACAGAGGCTAGAAAGAGTGAAGGAAGCATCTATATTGCCGAGGAGGATGGCTTTGTAGGGGATGAACTCGGGGCTGGCCAGTTCATGAAGTTTAGGATCCTGAAAATTGGATGGTACTGGGAAGGAAGAGGCGCAAAGATGAGGAAGAAGAAGGAATTGAAACCTGCCAGCTCCTGCCAAGAGCCCAAGACATTCCTAACTGTTTAACTGAAGAGTGTGAATTACGGGTGGGCCTGAGGGATTGAAGAAAATCAGAATGAATTCAGCAGGGGAGAGGGAAATCTTGGTACATTGGAAGGATCTTCCGGAGTTTGAAAATTCCTGAAAGACAGAACTTAGCATCAGACAACAATTTCCAACCTTCCAACTTGAGGGCAAGTTGGATTTTCAGGAGGGGAGATTTGATAGAGACTTTACTAAACTGAAGAGAAGAGATAAATACTCTAATAAAGTGTATTCTAGAAGGAAATAGGGTTGTTATTAGTCTAGTCTATTATGAGCAAATAACTTTCGGTGGTTAGCCTTCATTACTATAAATAGACTATAGTAGGAGATTGTAAGGATATGCTGAATTTGAATTGTAAACTGTACGCAGTCTGTTGCCTTAGGCCTTCGGCCATTGTTGCCTTTGAGAATAAAAGTTGCCTTTGAGATATTTCTTGAACCAATTCTGTGATCGGTAAGACTAGAGTTGGAGTTTTCTAACAAATGATTTATATTTAGCTTATGTGAGACACTATTTAATAATCCCCACAAAACAAGACACATGCATCTACAAATTTTTTTATGGGGACCCACACCTAGTTACACATGTTGGACATAGCTCTTATACCATATGTCCATAATATGACTTGGAGATTGTGAACCCGTTTGGTCCCGCCGGAATTCGGTGAATATGCTAAATTGTGAAAAAAAAAATATTTAAAATATATTTTATTAATAAAACAAAGGAAAAATTATGTGGAGAAAAGCTGAATTATCTCTTCAGCATCTTCATCCTTACTTTTCTTATTATTACACAATTCAGCTCGCGAAGAAAAATTAGAGCTTGGTAAAAAATTGGCTAATAAGGTTGATAAGTCGAAAAACGGGGTTACCAAGCGGGCTCTTTATCTTGAAAGATCAATCTGATAAGAGTAACACAAGAATATATATATATATATATATATATATATATATATTGACTGTATCTATTTTTAGTAACATGAAATAATATGTGGTGACTTATCATTAACACTTAACAAAGAAGCATCCTGTGAAGAGTTTTTCATAGTGGCTCACATCTTACTTTGATTATTAATGTATTATATTGTTTACATATTAGAATTAGTAATATTGTAATGTAGAAGATAGATGGGAATGAAAATATATGATGACGTTATAATTTATTATACTCCCTCTGTGTCTAATTTACAAGCCTCATTTATTATTAAATTTTCACAAAACCTTTTCTTTCCAACGAATTCGTATAATTTTCAAATTTCATTTCTTATGTTTTTAACCTCTGGAGGTTTAGTTTAGTTTGAAATAAAAAAGTTTCAATCCTTAAATTTATTTTGCTAATTACATACTACAGAATTTTGAATTGTTAGTAAGTGAATTATGCCTTTTTATTCCTAGTAAGATTTGAGATCTGAGACAAAATAAAAACAAAAGGGCTTGTCATGATGAAGAGAGGCTCTTGATGCAAGACATTAGTTTCTATGGTTTTACCAAGCTCCTGAAGTAAGACATTAGTTGTGTGTAGAATTGTGTCTGCAGATAGCATTGCTGATCAAGTATTCAAATCTCAAATGAGAGGAGATGGGATAAGAGGATATACCTTCTTGCCACGCGTTAGAGTTAGTCGTATGTGTACATTGTCAAACATTCCATTGCTTATAAGAGTCTTGAATATGGCATCCTTGATCTGCATATGTTTCTTTGTACTAAATTTAAATAGTTTATGCACATAAATATGTGGTATCGCTTTTTACATTTTACACTTTAGTACTTTACAGATACTATAGTACTTGACAGCGCAGGATAAGCTATGATAATGTCATAAAAATTGATGATTTCTTCCTAGACGAATAAGTTGAAAGTGGGAATGGAAACATTACCATTTCACGGGTTGGTACACTAGAGAAAGCTAAGGCTTTTGCTGAGTCAAACAACCTAAGAAAATAATAGAATATCAGTCAATGACATGTGTTAGCATGTTGTCCTTTCAGCTATAATAAAATATATAAAAGACACCCTTGAATGTTCTATGCTAACAACTGATAAACATCATTAAACAAAAACTAATAAAATTACGTAATGCAACAAGAATTAAAAAGGCCAAGATAAATAGTGCTAAAAGCTACCTAAAGAATATTGCAATTTTTCTCCTTTCAAGCACCACACTAATAAAGAAAGCATGCATATTAAAAGTACATAGACATGTCTCACCTTGATAGTTTAATTTTAGTAATCAGTTCCCCCAAACCCATGTTTTGGGTAGAAAAGTTTAGACATCATGTCAAATCATAAAATTCTCACAGTTTTCAAAAGAGCACGAGTATTTACCTTCTAAAAGGATTGTGAACTTGTTTGGATAAAAGAGGCAGGTGATCAATATCTTTATTTGAATATTTTGGAAATTGAAAGCAAGTGGCAAAATACAGCAATTTAAAATATAGAGAAATATTTCCACAAACCGATCTAAGTGATCTTCAAGCTTTAATATCTTCCCAGAATACACTCGAAGCCCTTCCCAGACTGCATCACCACCTTGGACAACGGAATCAAACACAGAGACCTTGAAATAATATGGTAGTGTCAGAAGTGAAGTTTAAATTCCAAAGTTTAAAATCTCACCTCATAAAATCAGTGCTAACACCTAAAAGGGAAAAATAATGATTAAAAGGGGATCTCATTTTCCATCCTGCTTTCAAAGATATAATATCATTATAACGACAACATTAAGTTACCTTTGCATTCTCACGGGGCAAAATTTCATCTCCAACCCATGCAAGAAGCTTTTCATTAGCCGGAATAGGAATCTTAGGAAGAGGCATAGTCCTTCTTGAATGACGCCGAAGGATGTTATATAAAGGCAAGCTTTGCTCCAGCATATCATACAAAGACAATGGAAATGGCTGACGACATTTGGAAAGGAATACTGGATTAAGACAATGTCTTTTATTAATATAAGATTATAAGGAACATTGAACTGTGACAAACTGCTTGTTCATTGAAAGGAAACCACTACATTCATATATTGAATCCCATTGATCTGAGATGAAGGGTATTAATATACTTGATATATCTTTTATTAATATAAGGAACATTATATAATGAATAAAAAATAACCAATTGTCATTCCCCTAAATAAATATAGAAATTTATCTAACTAAATATCCCTAACATATGCCAAATGAATAAATCCTTTGCATTCATCATTAATGATGTGACCTCTGTTCCCCTACCTCCCACTTTCCACCAAAGAATTGTTTAGGCAGTTCTGTTACATACAGAGACACTAGAAAGTAGAAAATACAAACTCACAAGTCACAACTAAGATGCCCACATGATAGAACGTTCTTTTCATCAAGGCATTTATATACAGACCAAAGTAAAAAAAAAAAACTCTAAATGAGATGGTTGTTCATCACACACTATGTACTTCCTTTACAAAAAATCAGTAGGCGTACCAATGGATACTTTCTAGATGGAACGAAACATGTTGCCTTATGTGCGGCTTTATACCACCATGGGGCCCAAATTCCATCATATGCTTTTGGCCCTTCTTCCCATCTGGAAACAATGATGTTAATAGTCAGCACCAATTGCAAACATATGGTAACAATATCACAATAACTTAAAACCAACCATTGTAATCCTATACTTAACAAGATTTGGGATCACTCGCAAAAAAATAGGGTCCAATGCAAAATTTAGTAAAACCCTTCCAAGATATACACTACTCGTGTTTACTCCAAAACCCAAGTTAGTCATAAAATTTAGTTACACCAACATTTAACATGAAATGGAAACAGACAACCATCACCTGAATTCTCATTGTGATGGGATAAGTGGTGTAAAATTTAGTCAATTAATTGTCTAAAGATAGTCAACACTATAACTCATGCAGAAAGCATAATGATTAAATTTTATGACAGATGTCCTTCATGTGATAATTTCAAAAGAATGAACAGTATAATGAAATTCCAATATTATCACCATAGATTGTCACTTGTATGGAAAACTATCATCATATGATGATTAGTTGAAGTAGTTGCTATAGTGATGCCCACTTGCAAAATTGATAATGTAATACCAACATGCATACCATAGAACATGATTGTGCATCCATAAAATAATAACTAACAGCTAGAAGCATACACGCAAGAGATGTAGCTAATATGCTAAGATTTCACTTGCAAGTATGACATATTAAGAGCATATTTTATAGCTCTTGGTAAATCATGGGAAGTTCTTCATATGTCTCTTCATACCACCTCACTGCAAATGTAGGGTATGACAGAAAGCCAGAAAGAATGTAAGGGGTAATGATTCAACTTGATTCTAAGGAGGTGGTGGACTGGGTTAGAGGAACGGGTATCCCATTGGTCATATGCAGTGTATCATCAAGACACGCAGACAGGAAATAAGGAAGCCGTGGGAGTTAAGAAATATGCATATAGGGAGCAGAACAAAGTTGTTGGCCACATCTTGGAAAAGGTAGGGAACTATGGCACGACATGAAAATGGTGTCAGAAGATGTGGGAGATATGACCTGTGAAGAAAAGACTAAAAATTTGGGAGATTTGACATGGGAGAAAAAAAAAACGTCTTTTTGGGTTTTCCTGTACCCTTCATTCCAATAATGTAAAAAAAAAACCATCAGTTTCCGAATTCAATGATCATATCCATGTTACAACTACTAGAGAATACAAATAAATTGTAAATACAATGCATTGTATCTTGATCACAAATTTTACAGATGTCACTAACATAACTATGCAAAGTTTCTGCTTGTTCCTCTCATTAGGACAAAAAATGAAGACCTTAACGTGTCTTAAACTTTGATTTTAGAATAAAAAGAAATAATAAGGCAAACTGCAGAAACATTAGTTGAACAATCCAAGATGACAGAGCTTACTTAAGCATTGCAGATTGAAAAGGTATGCCAAGATCTTCACAAAGGCCGCGTAAGGTAGCCTGAAGATTACAAAACCGGCCAAGCTATTTAATGACCAAAGTTTGGGATATGCAATCCATTGAGACAAGAAAACTACATATAAAATACAATAAAAGATATAAAAGAATGGCTGCAAGCTAGGAAAGGAAATACCATTTGGTTAATAAATTTTATCAGTAATAATACACTCATTGTCCATTTAATTGTTTTGCACATTACCGTTAATACAGCAATAATTACTGTAATAGCCTAATAGGTAAATGATAAATGTAAAAGTTTATGACTTAAAAACTAAGCTGCCATGTGTGCACTACGCCACTAACACACGCCCGAAACATTTTCTATAGTGAGTTGATGTACTATCTAGAATATGCAAAGAAAATATATTGTATTGATGCTTTAAGTTTGTAGATCCTTTTTTATATTCTTTTTTATGCATATTCCCTAAACAAAACTTTTTTATGCGATGTTTATTGTGTAAACTTTTAAGGTTTGTTGTGATGACTTGTATGATGCATGCGTGAAATGTTATAATATTCAATGGAGTTTCCTCTAGCTGAGTATGAGCCATAACGTGACTCACACGTAGTGAAAACCACGTCCTCACTGCCTTAACGGATCCGAGTATATAATAGCGAAATCATACTCATAAGAATTGGCAAAGAACTAGCATTAAACTCTAGTGAATGTTTAGGTGAAATACCGATGCCTTGGTCCTTTTATTAATATAATCATGCCTTCAAGAAAAATTCCCGCACTGAAGTATCATTTTATACATTATTTTCTAAACACTGAACTTTATAAATAAAATGTTTTCCCATAATCGACCAGATATTTTACCGGTACTTATACTACAATTGACATTTATATACTTGCAAGTTCAAACCAATCAGTATATATATTTCCAATGTTGTGAGTGTCAATTGAAAACAAAATAATCAAAATCAATATGGACCATGCCAAATTTGCGTACCATAGAAATGGCTAACGAAATTATGCTGGCACATATTGTTTCATACCATAAAGAGAATACATATTATATCAGACCCCGAGCAACAAACTCATGTGTATGTTCCATATAAACCTCTTCATAAAGATAGTCATTTTTTAACTTGAGAAGTCATGAGCGGAGTAAAATATTTTTTCACTCAAATATCGTGTTTAGAAATGCCATAAGATTTTATTAGGTTTAGACCAAAAACAATCTCCACAAGATTCTTTTCTCCCTCTTATGAAAATCGGAGGTTATTAACAAAAGCATTTGTGTTAGACCTTATTAAGATAAATTCGAGCCTATAAAATAGGAGGAAAGTGCAGAACATTTGACTAACATACATACCATTGTTGTCTCATGATTAGAAAATGGGTAGAGATGAGTTCAACAAGTAACGTTTGAAACTAACGGATGAAAAGATGAAGCAATAAAGTTTTCCATATGGTCAAAGCAAAGAAAGAGACATGGAATATATAGTAGACTTGAACACTTTGTGAGAGAAAACAAAACCTCAGGATCAGTTCGAAGATCTGCAGCATCAATGACAGGTGGGGGCTTTCCAAGTCTGGATAGCTCAGCATATATAGAGACAAGTTCTCCCAGCCCTAACTCAAGAAATGATGGGGAGACGACCTCATCAAAAGATGGCTGGCACCGCAACATATGAAATGTAAATCAGCAAAATGGATAAAGGCAAGATACAGCAAAACAAATTCGAGATGCAATGAGTGTGATTTCAAAAGCTAGGATAGGCAATGGAAAGTATTAAAAGACGTTTGTCTGGATGTAATTCTATGAAATGCAATGGAAAAGAATCTACATTTCATTGCTAACTTTTGTTATTATGTATTTACAAGTAGCAACGTTTACATTTTGATACATCGTTATGCGATATTACTTTTTAGGTTCTCAATTTTTACTTTCACTTTTTTATATTTTTATACTTCTATGTTTTTTTTAGGTTTATTCAATTTTTTTGTTTATATATTTCCCATTTTTTATGGCTATGTTCGTCATTTGCTTTTTTTTCTTGTTTTCTTATTCTTCTTAATGTATTTTTTCCTATTCTTTTTTCAATGAAGATCTTGTACACTTTTTAGTGCATCAGATTAGATAATGAAAAAGTTGTTACACTTTTCATTATCCAATACACTCATGCCACGAAAGAATATACCCAAAGAATACATCAAAAACATTTTCCATCCTTACTCTTCTTTTTTAACATTTAACAGATGTCGAATTAGACGAAGAAGAGGATGTAGGCACAAGAGAGAGAAACAGGTCGGTTGGTTTTGGGTGTAACCAATATTACATACATTTTTTATGTGATGTTTATTGCGTTGTTTTAAGCAATGGAGAATACAGTTATCATCCCTACATACTACCCTCTAAAATTAAATGTCTAACCAAACATAGTAGTGCAGCTCACACGCAATAAACTAGGACTTAAGTAGGAAAGAGGAATTATTAGGAATGTGGGCCACCCCAAGTGGAAAAAGTGAGAAAAGGGTAAAAGGTAGGGAAAATAAATAAAGTTAAATGGTTTAATTTGACTAAAATAAATAGGATGAGGACTTTTGGAAACTAGAAAAAAAAAAGAGGAATAAGATTTAGAAGGAGTACTAGTTATCAAAAGCTGAACAAACTCAATACAGATCTTGATGTATACAACTATTGAGCTATATGTGCAATCATAAGCATTTAAAGAAAGACAGAAAAGATACCAATATCTCGAGGGGATTGCGGATGAGTATGAAGTGTTTTCCTCTCTTAATTAACTCATCTGTCAAACCAAGTAAGTGTTGTTTTGCCATATGCTGCAAAGGGAACATGGAAGTTAATACAAAGCAATACAAGTCAAATAAGTATTAGCCTAGGCCATCAATGTTCGATTAGAAACCCTATTCCTAGTGAGGCGGAACTTTACCTAGTGAGGCTACTTGAAAATAACCAAACTAATGACCTACATACAAATTGGAATTTGAACCCATAAATTTCCCATTGCATTGCTATAATTAAAATAAATTAGGCTTTCTCACTAATTGTCAAAGAAGTCTTCTGGATGTGCTTTTGCCACTTTTAGTCCTCTGACTATTAGTCAAGGACATAATAGTCACTAACACTTTTGATACTCAACTTTGAATTTTTCCACTTTTAGCCCTTCAACTATTGTGTGAAAGACACTTTTGGTACTCGTCTTTGAAAATTTCCATATTTAGTCATTCGTCTTTATAAAAGTGACACTTATGGTCCTTCAACTATTGTAATAGTGACATATTTATTCCTCCAGCTATTGTGTTAAAATCATAGTGGAAGGACTAAAAGTGTAAATTTGATAATACTGTGGGGACAAAATGTGGGAAACATGGAAGTCGATGACTAAAAGTGTCTCTCGCACAATAGTCGAGGACTAAAAATGAAAAAATTAAAAGTCGAGTACTAAAAGTGCAGTGACACAATAGCCGGGGTACCAAAAGTGGCAAAAACTCCTAGAATCTCCTGTATATGCTTTAAAATGATGAGCTTAAAGGTGTGTCAACAATTACTGCATACTGTTTTTATTATATGGCACTATATATGCATTTATATTTCCTCTCCCACCCAATAGATAAATAAAATATCATTGAGGCCAATGTAACTAAGTCTAATAATATTTTCAGCCCAAGTGCCCAACGCAGATGATTATGGTAATTTCAGGTCAAAATAGTATCCTCTCTCTGATCCTAAATGTAAGGCAGGCTTTTAAGACACTTTCATACTACCGATGCACATTTAATACTTTTCTTCCACAACTGTCCCTCCTGAAACTGTATACATTCCTTATCAGATTGTTTAGGGGCATATTGGGGCAGTGAAGATTATTTTTAATGATTATAAACATTTCATTGATCTCTGTGAAAATTAAAATTGTTCCTTATAATAAAGACTGAAGGAGTTATATCACATAAATTGACTAGATTACCTTACAGTACCGGTACTTCTTTTCTCCTGGACCAAAAATAATATCCTTGACCACTTTATTTCCATCACATTCCTATCAATTTCAGATCATGAGCTCATAGTATCGATATAGGCAACAACAAAAAATTTAACTGTTTATGGAAAATCTCGCAAACAATCATTTAGTGTTATAGTATATAAATAGATATGTTGGACCTCTTCAATGAAATCCATTCTTGATTTTGGGTTAAAGAAAATGTGAATATAATTTTACATCTTGAAGAAATCAGACATTTCAGTGAAGCTTCTTGATACGAGCCTAAATTTTAGAATTAATCCTAATCGGGATTTTTCTAAAGTTTATAACCGTAGGGGTAAAAAGGGGAAGAGACTATCAACACAGGAGAGTGGAGGCATAACCGACTAAGGAGGAAGTATCGGTATGGTTGAGGGAATAAAAAGGCAACGACTGGAGAGAGAAGGCATTCTGGAATGTGGGCAGAAGTTGTGGAGAGAGAGACCCTCTCGAACTGGTCTCAGTTTACTTCTACGACAGTTTATCCTTGTTTTTCTTTATCGTCATCTTCTGAATTGTAATTCTTCTATTCCTGGGAACAATATCAATTATAAAATTGGTGTTTCTTGGATTCGTACTCATCATTTGGTATCAGAGCATCGATCGCAGGACTGTGGATGCCCGTTACGAGATCGCAGATGGAGAATAGAATCGACAGTTTGGAGCGCTCAGTGAACGAGATGCGAGAGGCGATGACGAACTTCATCAACCAGAACGGCCGCCGACAAACCAGGGGTCGCTCACGCACACCCAGGCATCGCCGATTATCTGGCAGTGTGGATTCCTCGCGGGTGGAAGGTCATTCTGAGCATTCTCGGACTCCTTCAACTCGCCAGGATAGTCCTATTAACAGAGAGCGGATTCGCACCGGAAGAAAGGTAGACCTACCTTTGTTCAACGGTAATGATGCAAATGGATGGATTATCAAGGTTTTTCAAGCTTAACCAGGTGGCCGATGAAGAGAAGCTGGAAGTGGTGCTCATCGCAATGGAGGGTAAAGCTTTGAATTGGTATCAATGGTGGGATGAAAACACCGAACAGAAAACTTGGGAGGGTTTCAAGGCTGCTGTAATCAGGAGGTTTCAGCCCGAACTCGTGCAGGATCCTTTTGGCCCGATGCTCAGTATTAAACAAACTGAGTCGGTGATGGACTATAGAGACCAGTTTGAATCGGTGGTTGCCCCGTTGTCGTCCAGCGGTTAGGATATCTGGCTTTCACCCAGGAGACCCGGGTTCGTTTCCCGGCAACGGAACCAAAATGTTATGTACCGGGATTCTTTGCGTCACGGGAATGAAATAAAAAATGATAAATGGATAGGGGACTGGAAATTTGGGGAGTTTTCCTTCTCCTTGGGTTTCTTCTTAATTTTTCTTCGATATCTTATTAGCATAACAAAGCTCCCTTTTATAAGAGGGATTACATGCAGATAACAAGGGAAGGGAAATCCTAGAAAATCACTTCCTAAAATAGATTAAATAATGAAGGTATCAAAATCAAATCATAATAAACTCAATCAAGCAAATCAATCAGATATTACTCCTCATTATTCTACTTGATTGCTCTGTTTATCTTTCCATAATGTTATATAGTAGCATGCATCAAGAGGAGATTAAAGCTGAACTGAAACTTTATCCAACTGATGGGCTCACCGATCTGATGGATAAAGCATTACTTGTGGACAAGAAAAATATGGCCCTCAAGGGTGGACGACTCAAGGAGATGGACAAAAGGGGATGGACAGAAAAAGCGGGACACACTTCTAAGTTGCAGTACTGGACGGAAGGATCACAAGGGAGGGTGATATCAAATAACAATCCAACTGTGGAGCCGGGGATTTTAGAAGTTAAAACTGGAACAACTGGAACTGTACAGGGGGGTAATCGCACATGGAAGGGGGTTCTTAAACTCTCCCAAGCCGAATTGCAGGATAGGACACGAAAGGGATTGTGTTTTACGTGTGGAGATAAGTGGAATCGAGAACATGTATGTAAGATGAAGAATTACCAGCTCGTATTGATGGAGATGGTGGAAGACTCAGAAGAAACCACGGAAGCACCTTTGGAAGTAGACGAGGAAGCTGTAGAGGAAGAACTTAAATCTCTGCAGTTGAACCTTTTGAGCAAGGAGGGAATACACACTCAAAACACCTTTAAAGTCAGGGGCCAAGTGCGGAATCTGAATAAAAAGAGATCAGTGTTGGTTCTCATTGACTCTGGGGCTACACATAATTTTGTTTCTCAAAAGTTGGTGGAAGAGATGGGTTGGAATTATAAAAGCGACACAGGATTCCAAGTGGAACTGGGAAACGGAGACCAGATAATAAACAGAGGAAGGTGTGAACAGTTACAAATCTGGGTGCAGGGCATAGAAATCAAACAAGATTTCTATCTTTTGGAGTTAGGCGGAACGGATTTGGTACTGGGAATAGAATGGCTGTCTAGTCTTGGTGAAGTGAAGGCTGATTTCCGAAAATTATATATCACCTGGAAGGAAGCAGGACAGGAAAGGTTGTTGACAGGGGGCTACTCTTTGAATCAAGCTACAACTTCCTGGAAGACAACACTTAAAGCCATACAGACACAAGGGCAGGGCTATTATGTGCATTGCAGTGAATCAGATTCAGTTTTAGAAGCGAATGAAAGTGGAGAAGAATGGAAAGAAATATTACAAGCCTACTCCCAAGTTTTCCACATGCAGCCTGGTTTACCTCCTAGAAGAGAGTGTGATCATTCTATCAATATAAAAGAAGGGGCTCCTATTCCTAACTCCAGGCCATACAGATACCCACACTACCAAAAGACTGAGATAGAGAAATTGGTACAAGAAATGTTGATAACCGGCATACTAAGGCCCAGTACCAGCCCTTATAGCAGTCCAGTTATCATGGTGAAGAAGAAGGAGGGAGGTTGGAGGATCTGTGGAGATTACCGAGCCCTCAACAAAATCACTATCCCTGACAAATTCCCTATTCCAGTGAAGCTAAAATATTCTCTAAACTGGATTTGAAATCTGGCTACCACCAGATTCGAATGAAAGAAAGTGATATTCCCAAGACAGCCATTCGAACCCATGAAGGTCATTATGAATATGTTGTAATGCCTTTCGGGTTAACTAACGCTCCTTCTACTTTTCAGGCTTTAATGAATCAGGTCCTTAAACCTTATTTGAGGAAGTTTGTGCTAGTGTTCTTCGACGACATATTGGTTTACAGTAAAAATAAGGAAGAGCATGCTGAACATCTAAGAAAGGTTCTGCAGCTTCTGCAAGATAACCAGCTGGTGGTTAACAGGAAGAAATGTTACTTTGGGCAGACGGAACTGATTTATTTGGGGCATATAATATCTGGTCGGGGTGTGGCTGCAGATCCTAGCAAAATCCAGGACATGGTAAACTGGAATTTTCCTTTAACTGTAAAGGGATTGAGGGGTTTCCTGGGATTGACTGGATATTATCGGAGGTTTGTACAAGGATATAGCAGGATTGCCAAACCACTCACTGATTTACTCAAGAAAGATGGGTTTAAATGGACTGAGGAGGCCAAAACTGCATTTGAAAGATTGAAACAGGTTATGACCCAATTACCCGTGTTAGCCAATCCTGATTTTAACAAAACATTTATCATAGAAACAGATGCGTCTGGTCAGGGAATTGGGGCTGTGTTGATGCAGGAGGGCAGACCGATCGCTTATATGAGTAAAGTTTTATCAGCAAGGAACCAAAGCAAATCAGTTTATGAAAGGGAATTGCTTGCGATAGTGGTGGCAGTTCAGAAGTGGAGACCATATCTTTTGGGTAGACGTTTTGAAATTCACACGGATCAAAAAAGTCTGAAATTCTTGACAGAACAAAGGCTCATGGGGGAGGAACAACAAAAATGGGTGGCCAAACTAATGGGCTACAATTTCAGTATCAAATACAAACCAGGGATGGAATACAAGGCCGCGGATGCTCTGTCTAGAAAGGGGAGTTACCAAGCATTATCTGTGGTCAGTTGTCAGGAATGGGAAGGGCTCGAAGAGGAATTACTGAAAGATAAAAGGTGCAATCAGCTCATTCAAGATATGTTAGCCCAACCAGAATCTCACCCCGGGTTTAAATTAAGAAAGGGGTTGATTTATTACAAAGACCGACTTATGTTACCCAAGGGATCACCCAGGATCAATAAGGTGTTGACAGAATTTCACGATTCAGCTAGTGGAGGACACGCGGGGTATGTCAGAACCTTAAAGCGCATAGCTAGTGTGATATACTGGGAAGGAATGAGGTCGGAAATTCAGAAATATGTGAGTAGTTGTGAGGTATGTCAACGAAATAAGTATCAGGCTTTAAGCCCTGCAGGGTTATTACATCCATTACCCGTTCCCACTCACATCTGGGCTGATATCAGCCTCGATTTCATAGGTGGATTACCCAGGACTATGGGTAAGGATACTATACTGGTTGTGGTGGACAGGTTCACAAAATCAGCTCATTTTATGGCCATTGCACATCCATATACTGCCAAGGGGGTCGCTGAAATATTCATTCATGAAGTTGTGAAGTTGCATGGGTTTCCCAGAACCATTGTTTCCGATAGGGACAGTGTGTTTATAAGTTCGTTTTGGTCAGAACTGTTCAGACTAGCAGGTACCAAGCTTAAATATAGTACTGCCTATCATCCCCAGACTGATGGGCAAACTGAGGTGGTAAATCGATGTTTGGAAACCTACTTGAGATGCCTCACTGGGAAGCAACCAAAACACTGGCCTAAATGGCTGCCCTGGGCTGAGTATTGGTACAATACCAACTACCACGCCTCACTGAAAACCTCTCCTTTCAAAGCCTTGTATGGTCAGGATCCTCCAGTCTTAATTCGGGGAGATGCAACCCTCACGGCAGTAGAAGAGGTCACCAAACTCACAGCTGAAAGGAATGAAATGCTCAAGGAACTTCAACACAATTTGGCTATAGCACAAAACCGGATGAAGCAACAGGCGGATAAACGTAGGAGGGAAGTTCAGTTTGAAGTGGGTGACATGGTTTTCCTGAAAATACAGCCTTATAAGCTGAAAAGTTTGGCCAAACGGGTGAATCAGAAACTCAGTCCCAGATTCTATGGGCCTTTTGAAGTGGTCAACAAGATCAATCCTGTGGCGTATAAACTGAAACTGCCAGAGGGGTGTACGGTGCACCCGGTTTTCCATGTTTCATTATTAAAGAGAACCGTGGCTCCTAACATCCCTAGCCAGCCTTTACCAAGTTGTTTATCTGAAGAGTGGGAGTTACAAACCCAACCAGAAAGGGTGTTGGCGATCAGGAAGAGTCCTACGGGAAGGAAAGAACTTTTAGTACACTGGAAGAACCTCCCTGACTTTGAAGACTCATGGGAGGACTTGCTGCAATTCCAGTCTATGTTCCCTGATTTTCACCTTGAGGACAAGGTGAGTTTTGAAGGGCGGGGTGATGATACGAGCCTAAATTTTAGAATTAATCCTAATCGGGATTTTTCTAAAGTTTATAACCGTAGGGGTAAAAAGGGGAAGAGACTATCAACACAGGAGAGTGGAGGCATAACCGACTAAGGAGGAAGTATCGGTATGGTTGAGGGAATAAAAAGGCAACGACTGGAGAGAGAAGGCATTCTGGAACGTGGGCAGAAGTTGTGGAGAGAGAGACCCTCTCGAACTGGTCTCAGTTTACTTCTACGACAGTTTATCCTTGTTTTTCTTTATCGTCATCTTCTGAATTGTAATTCTTCTATTCCTGGGAACAATATCAATTATAAAATTGGTGTTTCTTGGATTCGTACTCATCACTTCTACCTCACATTGGCAAGACTAAATTACATGGCAATGATGCAATATTGATGTCACCTGAATTCCTACTCTATATGTTTGTTTAAAACAGCTCCATTTAACAAATTGTGATTCACTTTAAGAAAAGCTAGGCAGATAGAAAAGTTGATCATGCCAGTTCACGCAAACCCTCTTGCCAACAGAAAAGGGTGTATGCCAGTCCCATAATTTCACTCAGTAAAGAAATGCACAAACAGTTACTAATTAAATGGCAATGGCAACTAGCAAGAAACAGAAGAGGCTATAAGCATCCATGATCCATGACTTACCATATTCGAAAGAACTTCATCCCTGTAGGGCCTCTCTGCTCCAGTTACTTTGAGAAAATTTGCATACAACGGCTCATCGAGAACTTCTATATCGTCCCTCTACAAACAAAAAAGGGGTTACAGAAAGGAAAAATAATGATGATAATTATGCATAATCAAGGGCAGAGCTTAATTCAACTACCAAGACTTTCTCTCCTTCAACAAGAGGAGATATTCTCTGGCAGCACCACAAACAAATATCTATATTTTACCATTACTCGCGCTCACTTTTAGGACACACTCCTGATATAGCATTTCTCCTCCTTCCTTTTCCGTTAGTCTCACTAATTTGGTAAAGTTTGTCTGGTTTTTAAATCATTCTCACTTTATTTTTAGTTCATCGATTCAAAACCAACCACATAATTTCATTTTTCTCAATAATCAACCAATGTTAGTGGGACGACAAAATCCAGTGATAAAAAGAACAGAGAGAAAGAGACCTGTGCGAAGGAATACATAAGGCAAGTACTGAGAGACCTTGGTGCAGACCATGAATGGATCACTTCAACTTCACATTTGGTTTCTGTCATTTTGGTTACAGAATTTGGTTGGGAGTCTGATGAAACTTCAGCGAGGTAAGGTAAGGTTCGCTGTGAGAGGTGATGTGCAGAGGACGCGTGTCCTCAGGATAATGCATGCCAATTGCCACTCGGGCAGCCGGGTTACACGGGTAAGTGTAGTAGACGACTACAAGTGAGTAGTCGTCTACTATGGAGTATAAATAAATATAAATGTTTGTGTTGGTCCATTTTTTATTTTTTATTCTTTCTATATATACACATAAATTATTAGAGTATAAACTTAAAAAAATGTTAAAAATAAGGTAAATTATATAGTATCCATGTGGTACTTTATTGTCCATACAAATTAATTAAAATATTACAATAAAATAATTAAAATACAATTAAATGATGAAATAATGTTGTGGATCAAGGTGCACTATCCTCTATTTTTTACCGGGTGCCGTAGCATCCATCTAAAAATAGGGGTGTTTGGAACTGATTCTGCTTCTGCTTCTTTTTTAAAGCAGAAGCAGAATCAGAATCAGTTTTCAGAAGTTGGTCACTCTCAGCTTCTAAAAAACTGATTCTAGGAGTAAATTTGAGTACCAGAATCACTTCTGCACTTTCATCCAAACACTTTAGCTTCTGCTTCTGCTCCCTGAAAGAGCAGAAGCAGTTTTAAGAATCAGATCCAAACACCACACAATACATTGAACTAGGGCTTAATTTGGATAAAATACACTCCACACATATGTACACAAATTAATGAATGAGCTGAAGAAAGTAAGATACAATGTGGATATGAAGCGGGTTTTAAGAAAGTGAAAAATAATGATTGTTTTACCATTCTAATCTCTAAAAAGTAAGAAAAAGTAAAGGATAAAATGATAGCTGCAAATTAAAGTAGAAAAGTAAAGAGAATATTATCCGAAGTATGACTAAAAAGGTTTGAAAATTTCAAAATAGGATTGTCATGTTTTTATTACTAAAATAGGACTAATTATAGCCATGTTTTTGTAGTACCAGACTTCAATCATGCGGTGGAGGTAGCTGCGGCGAGCGATGCGCAACTGCGTTGCAGGTGTTGTGAGATCCGGGGCGCTGCAGCGAGCTTCGTCTGCTGCAGGTGAACTCAAGTGTGGTTCCACGGCGGTCGGGGATGGTGACGGTGGCTCCGGCGACCTCACAACAGGTCTGGAAAAAGTCCAGATTTAAGCTTTCCAGATTTCGTATCTTTTCTGTAGAATTTTTTTTTGTTGCTGTTGAAATCAGCCATTCTTCGTATCAATTTTTTTTGTTGAAAATCAGTCCATTTCGTATGAATCTTTGCAGAACACGTTCAACTTTTTGGACAGATTCCCACTGACGGCGCCAGTGTTGAGTTTAATCCAACACGATATAGTAAATATATGTATAAATGTGTATGAACAAGCTCAGTTTTTACGTGGAAACCCGAAAGGGAGAAAACCACGGGACTTTTTAGACTAATGTCCAAGCCCTCTCGTTCTCATTAAGACTCTCCTCACCATTACATTGTACAATTTGAGCCTCCATTAATGGAGTCTTTGTAAGCTATTCTAGAGGAAGAAGGAAGAAGGAAGGGATCCCTCATATGAAGGGAAACTCCCATATTTATATAGAATAGGCCAATAGGGGAAGGGGATGCTCTCCACCCTAATGGGCCGCATGGGCCGGAGTGGGCCCAAATGACTAAAGTGGGCCGGATGGGCCGAAATGGGCCTAGCTGCTCGGGCTCCGTACTGAATAATGTCTTGGGCTCCTGAATAGTAATAGGCCGGAATAATATATCCCAACAGTCCTATTTCGGGAACTTTCCCAAAAGTAAAAAGTTAATACATTCTAGACCTGCACAAACACGGGCTCGGGCCGGGCTCGGGCCGGGCTTATTCTAAAAAATCTGCCCACTTGTAGTGGGCGGGCTCGGCCCGGCCCAGTAAAACGGGCCTCCTCATATGTCCAAGCCCGCCCATGAGAGCGGGCCGGGCTGCCCACCGGGCTTTTGGGCCCGGAAAATATCCTTTTGTCAACTCTGTTAAAAAATGAAAACATTTATAAAATAACATCACAATATTTTAAATGCAATTAAATAATTAATGTACTCACAACACATTTTGAACACAAGAATACGTTTAAATGCAATACACAAAACGATTCTGGAAAACAAAAAGCATCCAAATTCCAAATAAGCATCCATATTCCATAATTAAAAGCACAATCACAGATTCACAATGTGCAGCGGAAATAGTCAAGAATATCTCCAAAAAGACTTAACAAATGTATATCATTACAGTTCAAATTTAAATAGTAGAACACAAAAAGTAATTGGTATCCCAAGAACTTCTCGACACTCCTTCATTTCACCAGAAAGTAATTGATCTCCCAGACTGCTCTGCCAAGTGCCAATAAATACGTAGTATCAAATAATGAAAACCAAATATTATTATTTATAAACAAAGTAAAAACGTTGAGATAATGAAAACTACTATATTGTGATTTCTGAATACTTGGGTGGGCCGATGGTATAGCAGTAGCCATTAGGATGTTTGTTGGTCTCCAAACCTTAATACTTCCAAGTATTTTAAGTTTTAACTTAAAATTTTTATACGTATAGTCATATACTGTATAATTATATATAGAATAATATATATAATATAATATATACTTCGTATAATATGTTTACGGGCCGGGCTTTTAGGCCCGACCGGGCCTATATTACAACCCAAGCCCGCCCATATTTTAAACGGGCCGGGCCGGGCCCGGCCCGGTGGGCTAAAGCATGTGTCCAAACCCGCCCATTTATATGGGCGGGCCGGGCGGGCCGGCCCGGTTTTGTGCAGGTCTAATACATTCAATTTAGAAAAGTCCTCATATTTTTTAATAATCCAAAAGGGAAAATATATTTTATTAGAACCATGTCATTTGAAATTACTCATCAAGATAAAAAAATTATAGTATGTGACAAAACATTATGTAGACGACAATTTGAACTCTTATCTAGAAGATAATTATGTTTTTTAAAGGAAAAGATTATTGTGCTATCTTTGGAGATTTATTGTTCATGTGAATAAATGGTTTAATGTTTAAAATGATGTGTTAATTATATGTTATTATTACTCTAATAGATCTTGTTTCGCACTTATCCCTTTAGACTAGATGCTTATTTATTTTGTCACATCTCTAGCCTTTTTTATTTTTTGCAATAATTGCTTTATTGGGGAATGCCCTTTTCAGCTTTGTTTTTCTTTGGGTGTGCGTCCACGCTAATTCAACAACAAATAACCAGAAGTCCAGAACATGAAGATGGAAATTATAATAAGTTCAGTTATACGGAGTACGTAATATTACTTCGTATAATACATGTTTCAAAACAAATAAGATGCAGTTATCATAATCTTCTTCAATTTCGTTTCATAGATGATTATAGATGATAGATCCATGATACACACCAGCAGGGACGGACTCAGGAAAGTCATCTTGGAGGGTTCAAAATACTTTTTAGGGGCGAAAATTATTTTTCGTATATATACACTACAAATAAATTTTGTTGGAGGGGCAGTAGCCCTCCTGGATCGGTACTACGGTCCGCCCCTGCACACCAGGTTATCTTATACGAATGATAGAAAGAAGATAACGAGATCATGTAATCAGTAATCCTGCGTACATAGAGAATATACAGTACAAGAGAAGAGAGGAAGAAGATGGTTGTAAACTTGTAATTTCATTTCTGATCCATCTGAAGAAGTACAATGAGTATTTAAGCTATCCGAAATTTAGTTAGAAGGTAGCTAACTCTTAACTAACTCTAACTCCGGAACTACCTTCCCTAAATGTCAATAGCTTCTTATTTCTTATTTACACTCAGCACAACTAAGTAACTAACTAATATACGGAGTATTGAATAGGCTTGCTGATGTGGCTCGTCAATCCTGGATTTGTACTTCTTCATAAGCTGACTGTATCAATCCATCCCTTCCTGTGATAAAGACGGTTCCCTCGATCTGAATCTATCTTCCCCTAACTTCCTATTTCCTAAGGCTGGATGTGAACTATTTTTCTAATCAAGACAAATATTTTGGGGCGGCGAAAATTAAGATACTACGTATTTATTATTAATAGCATTGATAATAGTAGGGATGTAAAAAAAAAAAAAACCGACCCGCAATAACCCGCCCTGACCTGAGACATTTGGGGCGGGTCCGCCCCGCCCCATCTTCCAAATGGGGCGGGTCTTCCTCGCCTATACAATGGGGCGGGTCCGGGTATTAGTATTGACCCGTGCCGACCCGACCCGCTCAATACATAAGCATACATACTTTTTCTTAAAATATACTACAAATATACTTCAACATACATATGTGTGTATACAATAAATCATAAATTCTTTGATCTTATAATATATTAATACATACTTCGTATATTAGAATGAAATGAACGACGGATTATCAATGTCTTCTCTATATATAGCATTTTAATACATATGTTCAATTATTAGTAAAATTAAATAGATTAACTATTCAAGTCTGAGTAATTTTTCCTTAATTTTTGAAAATTTTAGGGTATCATGAATTTGATTTAATATAATAATTTTTAATTATTATTTAGAGATAAACTTTATGTGGATTTAATTGGTAACAACTTCCCACAAATAAAAATAGATACTAGCTAATTAAGTTACGGCGGGGCGGGTCATGGGTAAACAAGTTTGGACCCGTGCAGGTCACGGGGCGGGCGGACCCACCCCGCCATGTCACGGGGCGGGTCTGGGTCTTGCAGTACCCGGCCCGACCCATTCTCATGCCTAGATAATACAGCAATATATGTTATATTGCACAAAAATCAGCGGAGTGAAGGGACGCCGCCCCCATCTCGAGCTCCTTCTATGTGAAATTGTCATGACACTAATGTAACAACATTTTTCAGTGAATAACTTCAGACTTTGGTTGCAAATGTCTCAGCTACCAAAAGGGGGAAGGCAATGGTTGCATCACAATGTACCTACATATAAACACAAACAATGGAGTGCAACAATCTCATTAGTAGTTTGATTAAAGTACTGCACTGTGATATACTCCTCCCCACCCCAAATTCGAGAATGCCTAGATTTTATGTGTAGAAAAATGTGTAATAGGTTATTAGAAAAACATCTTTTTACTGGCCCAACAACTGCC